GCGGAGGCGGAGGCGGAGGCGGGCGAGCCCCGCGCTCCCTAGCGCCCAGCCGCGCCTTCAGGTTTAAGAGTGGCGCGACGGAAAAATTAGGGATTATCGCCTTTTCTTCCTACCCCAACGGCAGGGCACAAAGTAAATGTCAGTGACACGCCTCGCCCAAACCCGGCTCAAGCCTTTGCTCTGCCCTGGCCTAAGATACTGGGGAGGATGTGGAATTCCTGCGGGAACTCCCTGGAGCAGTCCTAGATTACAGATACCGGTCCCCTAAACCTGGGCGGTATTCTGGGCTTGCCATTTGGCCTGTACGCCCAGGGTTTAGGAGCCTCCATGGCAGTGGCGCCTGCGCACACCCTTCAAAAAGGAAGAAAAGTGACATCTCCCTCTGCCAAAATCCTAAACTTTGCTTGTCCCCTGAGGGCCTCGGCCGCCATCCTGGCGTTTACAAGTGGTCTTAGCCTGCTTTGCCGGCCTCAGTGCCTCTTTCCAAGATGGGGGCCTCTTCCACAAGCAGCATCTTCAAGAGGTCGTGGAACATGGGGCAGCTCCCAGAGAGGAGCACCCTCGGGTGGGCCGGCCACTCGGGACCGCGCAGACCACCCAATCTGAAGTGATCTGAAACCAGTCATTGTGTACCCTCCTACTGGACTCTTTGTTTTTGCATTATACCTTCCAAGTAGAATGAAAAAAATTATCTTTTAAGGTGTCACGATCCTCTTTTATTTGTACTCGTTATCTAGATCAAGAAGCCAGATACACAGGGGCTGACCTGTGTGGTCTCAGGGCCCTCTGAGACGTCCCTAGATGCAGGAACTGAGGAGACCAGAGTAATCAGCGGCTACTCCTGACATGATATTGCTGATGATGAGGGACTCTGGCTTTAGGGTCAGACATCACCAGATGGAGTCCCAGGTCTCTAGCAAAAGCAGTAACACAGACCTCGACAGAGCTGTGAAGATGAGTGGGCTCAGTCATGTAAAGCGACTGGTATTTATTTTTGAAGTGGAGTATTTGATGTGGACAAATCATACTGTTTTTTAAAAGTCATCTTTTCAGTTATGTTTCCGGCTTCTCACAGTCTGTTCCCAGCGGTGTCCCTGGTACTTCTGGTTCCTAAGAAGCTCTGTCACAGCCTTTCTACCCCTATCTTTATTCACTTTGCAGTCTATAAAATGAGTGGGGAAGCTCCTGACCGAGGTTTGGCGAGAACTCTACGCATGAAGATCATTGCAGATTTTCTAAGAGGGACTCATTGTTCATAGATTCATCAATAAACCCCAAACTGGGGTGGACACATACGGGCACTGTGTATTACACCACTTGTGATGACAGGAACTATACTCACATGATGACAGGACCACTAACCTGGATGAGAATTCTGAAATCAATTATGAAGTTCCTGAAGAGCTTAGCACCAGGAGAGACAGGGATGGGGTTTTAGGGGTTTGGCTAAGTGATGGAGGTCTTTTGTGGAAGGTTCACACGCTTGAAGCCAGCCTGGGAGTATGACTTGTGACTGGTAGTGGGCTCCTCCTCCTCTTTCACTATCAAGGAACAGCCCTTCCCTCAAATACAGTATGTTAGGAATCACACTTCCTTCTTGCTGATTACAGGAAAAACTTTCTGAAGAGCTTAGCATATCTTCATTCAGTGAAAAAGGGTCCCAGGAACATACAGTAAGGTATCCCAGCTCTGGAGAGCACTTGGGGGAGGTGCTTGTGGAGGGAATGCATAGAAATTAGATGTTTTACTTTTTGTCATACGTTTGGATTTATTCTAAATACAGTGACACATGCATGGGATTTTAAAATTTCAGCCTGGCAAGGTGATTAATGCTACTTGAGAGAATGAGAGGAGAATCACAAGTTCAGGAGCAGCACTGGCGAGTTGGCAATGCTCTGTCTCTAAAAAGACTAAAGATGGGGCCAGGAGATGGCTCAGTTGAATAAGCACAAGGGCTTATTCAACCCCCAGTTCTGGAAAAAAAAAAAAAAGACTAAAGCTGTAGCTCAGTGGTAGAACGCTTGCCTAGCATGCAGGAGGCCTCAGGTCCAGGCCCTGGCACAAAGTAAATAATTTTTTTAATAAAACATTTGAAGGAAAAGTGCACTGAAGTGTACATTCATCCCCAACTATTACAATTTCCATTTGCTTTATCTAGTTCCTTGCTCTAAGTATTTTTTCTTCTCTGAATAAACTTTAGGCTGCCCCTAGCCTGTCCTTCTCGAGGGCTTGCTGTGTACCAGGATCTGTGTTGAGGAAATTACATCATTAGACTTCTACCTCAACCCTATCAGGCAGGTACTACTGTTAGTCGCATTTTTACAAAGAAGATGTAGGCCTGGACTTGCCAAAAGTCACCTAGCAAATGTGCTTCAGAGTGTAAAAGTCTTTACCACCTTCTGTTTAAGCTTAACTTCATTTAAACTTCACAGCTCTGGTGTCAGCTGTGGAGCTAGGAGAGATTAAGAAATTTTCTGCAGGTGATGGAGGCGGGACTTGGTGATGACAGATTTATGTCAGGGAGACTGAATGTTATAGAGCCACAGAAATCCAGTAAGCCTGTCGCACTACCCAGCCCAGTTCTCCCATCTCTAAACTGAGTCCTGAAATACAACTAGAAGCAAGGGTACAGTTGTCTCTAATAAACAGAGGGCTCTTAATAACCTGTGAGGCCTCGGAAATCTACAAAAGTTGTGTATTGTGACTAAAGGTGGGCCTCTGAGCACCTGCTGCAAGTCCTGTGTGCCTCTGTCATCCACTGAAAACGGAGAAGACACTGCTTCATAGAAATATTGAAAGATCAAAATGCTGAACACAGTGCCCGGTGTGCCGTAAGGCCTCCATACAGCCTTTATCACTGTGGTGCCACTGTTACGCTGAGCTCACAGTACCAACATAAATTGAACCAGATGATTGCTTGGGCTCCACTTGAGCTGGCCCCAATTCTGCAGAAGCATCCTTTCTGACATCTGCCAGGTGCACGTGGGATTCTATATAGGAAACCTCTGCTTCACTCTGCTCGTGTGCCATGTGGTCCCTTGTGGTTCATAGCGCCACATCATCTGCACTGACAAATAAAGGCAGTGGCCTCTTTGGACAGCATAGGCTGCTGTGCATTTTACCCTGCCTCACACCCTCTGGAGCCCTGGTGATACAGCCCTCAGCTCGGAGGACCCCAACTTGTCTATCTCTGGAGCTCTGGCATCCAGAATCTTGCCCAGCTACCCTCAGAAATTGTAACAGCATTCAGACAAAACACAACAGTCTGTTTATTGAGGAAAGACAGCTCCTGACGTTCTGGAACAAAATAAAATGGATTTGCTACAGTGCAGTCTTTATAACCTGCAGAATACCAATCTGGAAACCTGCACCACCTTCTTTAGATAAATACTGAACTCTTCTGAGGCACTGGGAGGAGTCCATCATTCCCAGCAAAGGAGCCCAAAGGTCTACTTTATTTCAGGCTTGGGGACAAGCTGCACTTCTCGAAGATCCGGAGGGGCAGAATGTGAGACAGGGAGGCGCTGTTTATGGCCACCAGCAGCTGCAGCTTGTGCAGGCAGTCCTCCAGCACCCCCTCGGGGTGCTCGCCCAGGCGCAGGTCCACCGGGCACGGGACCTGGAGCATGCGGTCCGCCAGCGCCAAGCAGCAGATGGCCAGCAAGGAGGGGACGTAGCTGGTGAAGGCGTAGTCGGCCAGGCTCAGCTCCGCTACTCCCCGCGCCAAGATCTGCGCTTCCAGAGCTTCGGAGGCCTCGACTTGCCCCGCCTGCACGCGCTCTTGAGTGAAGTGCTCCAAGAAGAAGCTGATGGTGGGCGCCCCCAGGCTGAAGTGCAGCTTGTGCAGCACGATACACTCGAGGTTGCAGAGCTGCTGCCGGGAGAAGGCGCCGCAGCACAGCGCCAGGAGCTGTTTCACTCGCGGTGGGTGAACTTCTACCTGCAACACAGAAGCTTGCTCAGCGCCAAGCCCACAGCTTCCAGGCCGCTCCAGCCTGAAACCCAGAATACTATAACACCCTCTCCTCCCTTCCGGAGGTACAGGGACTTTACCTGCCTACCACTTCCACTCAGATCACCTGGGCGTGTGTGTGTGTGTGTGTGTGTGTGTGTGTGTGTGTATGAGAGACAGAGACAGACAGACAGGCAGAGGCCGAGAGAAACTGGGAGAGACTGAGGCCTAATAGTTTCTTTGGGGCCCCAGTGAAAGGACTGTTGCGGCTGCAGATGTGCAAACTTCTGCCAAAAGAAGTTTGAGGACTCCAGCCCTGAGCTGCGCGCCCCGAAGAGGCGGGCCTCCAGGAAGAGCGGTCTAGCTGCATCTCTGCTCCCCGTGCAGGTACCTGTTTGCAAGCGATGAGTAGCGCGGTGACCCCAAGCAGCTGGAAGCAGTCGGCGGCCACAGGCGTGGTGGTGAGGAAGCGGTCCAGGGTGTTCACCGTCAGGCACAGCGACTCGAAGGACAGCCCGAACTGGCGGTGCACGGGAATGAGCCAGCTGAGGAGCTTACAGCGGGACTCCGCGGTCACCTGCCGAGAGAGGGGAAGTGAGCTGCCGAAAGAAGGGCCAAAAGGACCCAAGGAGCTTTGTCGGGAGGAAGCAGGGAAAAGCCGGATGCACTGGAAACGGAATAACGCGGGCGACGTTGCTGCTTAAAGTCCGCAGGCCTGGGAGAGGTGGGGTGGGCGCAGTGCCCCCCGAGCACTTGGTAAGCATCACCACCTGCGGTCCTCTGGGCAATTCAGCGAGAGGTGGGGTAGAGGCGCAGCCCATTTTGCAGGGTTAGAAACAGACTTTGGATCGTTACATAGGCAGCGCGAGGCCCACCGGAGTGCGGACCCAACCTGGAATCCGACTTCCCGCTCCGCTCCCCCACGCCCCTGGTGCGTTGCTGGGCTCGGCCGGCTCAGGTTCGGTCCGCCCCGCTGGGAGGCGCCTCTCCGAGGGCGAGGCGGGGGACCCGGCCCTCCGAAGCTGCAGTGCTCCCCTGGGACTGAGTGCCGGAAGTCGCGGGCCGGGCGGTCGGCGCTCACTTGCGGCTGCCGCGCCAGCGACTCCAGCGGGTGGAAGCGGCTCTCCTGAGCCTTGCGGAAAGCGTAGCAGCTCGGGCCGTAGTCGCGGAAGGTCTGCAGGTCGAGGGGCGCCAGCAGCTGGCCGGGATTGGGCGGCGGGCTGCAGCTCCGCGCCGCAGCCCCTGCCCCAGGGCTGTCCTCGCCGTCCGAGCCCGAACCCGGGGACTCGAACACGTCGCAGACGCCCGAGTCCCCCGGGAGCAGGCGCGGGCTCAGGGGTCGCAGAGGCTCCTTCCTGCGGAGGCGCGGGCGCCGGCTCTTCTTCACCGGGGCCCGAAGGTTCGGTTCATGGTGCCGCCTCTCGGACCAGGCCGCGGGGCTGGCGGGGCAGGGGGTCACCATGGTGCAGCCGAGCGACCGCTCCGCTCCCCGAGCCGCCCTGGGCGCGACGAGTCGCCGACGCGCGCGCCCCAGAAGACGAGGGCGGCGAGGCCGCCGCGGGGCCTCCCTAAGTACTCGGCCCCCTTCCCTCCGCCACACCCGCGGCCTCTCACTGGCCGAGCCCAGGGCAGCACCGGCGCCGCGCTTTCCCGGGTGCAGGGCCCGCCCTCCCCTGCTGCGAACTCCTCAGTCTGCGGCCGCCAGGAGCCGCCACCCGCGCTGCGCAGGCGCGCGCGTCCTGGGTTACCCCGGCAACCGGAGGCCGCGTAGAGGCGCGAGCTGGGCGCGCAGTGGGTCTCACGGCCCTTCGCGCGCATAACAGGGGCTCTGCTCCAAAAAAAGAATTTTTCCATGTGGCTTCTCCCCGCCCTTGGCCAGCTGGTCTCGGCGTCTACGAGCTCCTGCCTTAGCGGCTGTGACCCAGGTTGGTAGTTTGGTAAAGTGCGCTTCTAAGCCCAGACGAAAGTCGAACTGGAATTTCTCCAGCCTGGCATTTTTTGGGGATCCGTACACAGCGTAAATTCATTTGCTCTTGTTTTGGGCAGTACCCTTCCGCTAGCCTCAGGGAAGAGCCTTAGCACCGTGCTCTTGTGCTGCCGTGTAGGTGCGAGCTGCCAGAGCCCCGGGCACTAGTGATAAACGAAACAAACAAACAAAAAAACTGCTCACGCCAACCTCACACAGCAAATCCACACTTTCCTCTGCGCTTTTAACCCCAAGCCAAACAAACCACTTAGAAGTGTAGCATAACACTGCAGCAGGGTTGCATTTCTAGTTTTACCAAATTGCTCACAGTCTGTTCTGTTTTAGGTCATTAGCTTATTACCCCCTGCCCAGGGCAGCAGCAGCCCAGTACTTTCTTGCGTATTCCCTCCAGGAGCAGCAGCTTTGTTTGGGTTAGGAAAAACGAGGGGTCCCCAAGCAGTAGAGCTGAGTCTTCCCCAGGGTGAGTGAGCCTCCCTGCGGGTTTCTGGCCGTGTTAGAGAAGGGGCCTGGTGGGATTTCCCCGAGGCAGGGAGCCCAGCTAGCTTCAGCCTGAATGTTTCAGGGATATTCTAAGGGGCGAGGTTACCAAGCTCCACACCAGCAACAAGTTCAGCCATCCCCACCTCATTCCAGAAGACAGCTGACAAGGGTAAGTAATCAGTGTGCATTCCGCCCCTAGAAATGTAGTGGAGAGTGGGGTGGGGTGTCCTAGAAAGGCAGGTGAAAGAAAACGAATAGATTTCACTTCTGGCCGCTGCTGCTGCTGATGATGATTTATTTCCCTGTAACTCCCAGCAAGCTGTTTATTCCCTCAGGCCATTGTTGGGGAACATCATGGGAAGAATAACTGAATCTGTAGAGAGGGGTAGAATATCAGATTTCCTCCCAGAAAAACTTTATGAGTAAAGGGAAAGAATCCATGAATTGTGGCTCCCTGCTGGCCCGCATGGCCAGGTGGTGAAGAGGAAAAAGCGTGAAGTCCCATTCATTGGTTATCTTGGGCAAGATGCTGTTGAGTCCCCACTTCCTTGTCTGTTCAATAGAGATATTTTACTTCCCTTCAGGGTTAAGTGAAATACGTTTAAAAACTCAGGGCTCTTTTCTTCTCTTGTGATATTTAGGTAGAACCCAGGGCCAACACACAGAGCAGTGGACCCTTACAAACTCAGTTTATTCCTGAGGGCTGGTTGTAACTCATCTTGTCAGTTGTAGGCTCGGGCTCGCCTACACAGCCTTCAAAGTCTCTCTGTCCTGTACACGGGCAGATCTCAATGTAGAGATCTCTGAGACACTGGCCCAGGAGTTCTCAAACCCATCAAGGATGTGGTGATGTTCCTTCTAGGGTTTTCAGGGGTAAATCTGTGTCTGAGACCGTGAGGAAACACAAGAAGCTGGCACTTGGGTCATAGCTCAAGACTTTGGTCATAAGTTAAAACTAAAATTCCGATCATAACCCAAATTGTCTGTCAGGCTGGTCTTAACTCAAAGATGCACTGTACATCCCCCTCCAACTTCCTCCTTTGGAGAAAGCTTCTGACTTACCTGCAGCATTGCCAAGACTAGGCCCAAACTTGCAATCAGTCCTCTTGCCACAGCCTTCCAGAGTCCTGAGAGAACAGGCATGTACAACACACCAGCTTTGATCCTCTCTTGAATGTAAAAATACTGGGGGCATCCTCAAGTCCACGTGGGAAGTCAGGAGCGGTACTGTCATTTGATCTGCTTGTGGGTGTGAGACTTTCATTGTACCAGGCCAGAAATGCTCAGTTCTCTGAGTTCACCTTAGAGCCTAATCCCCCGAGGAGCTGCTTGAGTTTTATCTTCATGCATCTGTCTTTTAGAGTTTGTGGACTGCCCTGCATGAGCCCCACCCTCAAGCAGCAGACATGGGGTGGGGGGCAAAGGACCACTTGTTGCAGTTAATTGGTTCCCCAGTTCATGAACTTAATTCTGTCCATGATTCTGGTCACAAACCAAATCATTGAGAACCAAATCAAATTTCCCCATAAGGTCAACACTGAACCTAACCATTAAATTCGATTTGATTCTCATCCCCTTAAGTTTGTGACCAGAATCTTGAAAAGAATTAAGTTCGTGAACCAACAGGCCACTGTATTTAAATTCTGAAGATTAGAAGAGTGATGCTATCGGATCTTCTGCGCTGAGGGTGAACAGAGAAAATGCAGGATGTCCGTTTTAATTTGAGGAGCAGACAGACAATTTTTTAGCATAATGGGACATACTTCTACCAACAGGTTATTTGTTCTTTATCTGATGCTCCAACTTAGTAGGACACCCTCACATCTACCAGCCCTGCCGAGAGCCCTGAAAGCCCGCAGTAGGACCAGACATGGTCATCTGGAAAGGCTTCCCAAAGCAAGTGGTGGTTAAGCTAAGACAAGCAGGAAGGTGGAAAGACGAGAGGAGGAACTTCGGGGTGGGGGTTACCACGGAGAGGAGCAGGGTGTGGGGGGTCTGGAAGCAGATTCAGGGGGGCCACAGGACTTACAACAATGCCTATTTGCTAGAGCATGACTAGAACAGAGTCCAGGGTAAGAGAAGTGGGGAGATCGTAGCTAATATTTAGGTAAAGTTGATGAGCCAGATACTGTGTCGGGACCTTTATTGTATTGGTTCAATCTTCACAGTAGCTCTGTAACATAGCTTCTATCACTGTCCCTATTTTATAGATAAGCCAGGGAACAGCATAAAAAGGCAACTTGCCCAAGATCACAACACTACTAAATGGCAGGATGCAAGCGCAAGGGCCTAAGTTCAATCCCCAGTTCCGCCAAATATAAAAAAAAATAATAAATGGCAGTATGGAAATTCAAACTTAGCTCCCTGCACACGGTCACCATGACATGCTGCTTCAATAGCTAGACCATGCGCTTTCTAATAGGTGCATTAAATGTTCAGGTTCTCTAAGGCCATTGAAGAAGGGGGAGAGCTTCCATGTCTCTTGTTTCAAAGATTAAAATGATAAAGCCTCCCTAGGTCTAGGTAAGGTTTCCAAAATACTGTCCAGGTTTTCACTCAATTACATCTTTAAAGGCAGAACTCGATCTGGACCTAGGAATTAAAGAGTGTACTGTTAAGTCAGTGCTTGTTGCAGCCCTTTGTACTCAGTTGTTGCATAGATGAAAATATATCTTCGTTATTCTTCTCTCATGGGTGGGACAGAGTATCCAACACCCAAAGTGAAGGAAGAAAGGTGTATTTAGATCGCAGTTTGTGGAGGTTTTAGGCCATACTAGCTGGCTCTAAGGCAGACTGACACATGGCAGAGGGCAGCCACTCATGGCAGTGGAAAAGAGCAAAGGGAGGAGTAGAAGCAACAGTGGTCACAGAGAGCAAGCCTGTCTCCTTTTTGTTACATTCAGGCGGTCTGCCCCAGGCTGGGTGTAGCACTCATACCCGTAATCCCTGCAGCCCTCATACCCATAATCCCAGTGGATCATGAGTTAATCATAAACTCTAGAAGTCTGCCCCATGACTATATGAGGCTTTGGGGGGACAACTAGACACAAACCATAATAACATCCCAAGATTTTGATTTAATTATTTCATTAAAATATTTATGGGGTCCGGGGAAATGGCTCAGTGGAGTAAGCACTTCCCTGGCAAACGCAAGGGCCTGAGTTCAATCCCTGGTTCTGCCAAACAATAAATAAATAAAATAAAATATTTATGTATCCAACATAAATTTGTGCATAGCTTCAATATGCTTCTTGAAATTTGGCAAGACCCTGTATCAAATAAAATACATTAAAAAGCTTGGAAAAAAATTTTTCTTACCTACTGTAGCATCTGAGTTGCAAAAATTGTTTTGTGTAATTCATGAGATTTTTTTTTCTTTCTAATTCAGGGTTGGATGAAACTTCCTGATTTCACTTGGATACAAAGTCCCCTCTTACACTGCCTTTGAAGCTGAGTGTTACACTTTTCATTTTGTGCTCCTGTCCTTTGCTTCCAAGAAGAGCTCCCCTGGGCCATGTCTCTGAGACACCTTGGGCTTCGGCAGCTTTATAGACTAGATACTCTTCTTTATATTCTAGAAGAATCCCCATCACATCTCCATTATAGCAGCCAACATGATACTCTCACTTCTGCACCTCTATCCTCTCAGTTACAGCTTGTGCTCATTGGTGACAGCACTGTTTACTTTTATTCATTCATTTCCTTGTTTGTTTATTTTTTGGGGGCGGGGGGAACCAGGGATTGAACTCAGGCCTTTGTGCTTGCCAGGGAAGCGCTTATTCTACTGAGCCATCTCCCCGGCCCCACATTTGCTTGATTGTTAAGAAGTATTTATTGTCTACTATGTACCAGGCGTGTTTCTAGGTTCCAGGAATATAGCAGTGAATAGAACATGCAAAAATTCCTATCCTTATAAAGCTTGTTTTATTTTATGCTTAGTATAATCAACTAATATTTAAAATAAATTATTAAATACTGTATGTAATATGTTAGGT